GCTCAAAGACTTGTGAGCATCTCTGACGGCATGTCCCCTGACAAGAAATAGAGCCATGTTTTAATCTCGTCACACCCCTATCTAGTTATAATTACTGCAAAGGGGCTTCAATTGTTGGTCATGATGGTAGCTGCTTGTTGAAAACAGTTCTTCAAATATTCAGCAACAACTTTAGCATTTTTTAGAGGTTTTTCAGTTTTTAGAACAGATTTGCAAGAGGTTAAAAAATATTCACAATAACTTGTGAATCTATAAATGACCACATCAAATCTCCATATGATTCATTTTCTGTCTGTAACCATTAACCATACTCCACAAAATCATACACAAGTGATTATCACATATGGACCTGGAAGCCCTGTTAGATTTCCCACATATCTCTGCTTTCCATATGAAGATGAATATGAAGAACATATTAAAATCAACACACGATAACGCTAACAATATGCCTTTTATTTGGGAAACACTTTTTGAACACACACACACAGTTCCATCAAATTCATCTTTACATTTAAAGGTTCAAGCTAAAAATCGCAGCATTTTACAACCACTTAGAGCATCATTAGTGATGTTGAGTTGTGTGTGAAGGGGTCAGTGTGATGTTTGTAATTGGCTCTCTGCTGTTCACATCCTAAAGGTCAGCGTAGAGCTAAAGGCCACTTCCTGGCTGAATGGATCATTGACAGACAAGGTGCTTGTAACCCTCAGCCTGTCCAGAGGAACTTCACCTATTCTATGAATGGAATTATATCAATAAGCATTTTCGGCTTTATTGACTGTGACAAACTATGCAGCCAGGATAGAGGAAGCAAAGCAGAGCATGGAGCCAAATAGCTAGATCCAGTCCTAGAAATAAACATTATAATTAAAAATCAAAATAAATTGTTAAACTAATAAATTAGTTGAATGTTGTTTTTGTGTATCCCCTGTGCTCTGCATCATGAAATTTGTCTCCTTTTCAGGCACACCACTGTGTCCCAATTTCTATAATATATAAACAATTTAAAGTTTAATAAGCTGTGGGATGCCAAAGTTGCAGTTTGAGTGACATCATTATGAATAATCCAAAGAACATGGGAACAGGCAGAACTCTCCACATACAAGGACTGAACATGACAATATATACTGGAGCACGCAGGACAGGTAGACTGGAGGAGTGGAGGCTAGGCTCAGTGACCAGTGACTGGGCAGCTGGGCTGGAGGCCAGTGGCATCAGGGAAACCAACAGGAGAACCAATGCAGCCTGGGAATCAGAAGGCTGAAACAACTCTACGCTAAAGGTGTGCTGAAGCTCTGCAGCAGGGACTGCCGACCGCTGCCCCTCGGCAGAAGTAGGGTGTTGCAGCAACCGCTTTGTTGACTCAGGACATGAGGGTAGTCCAGCAACCGGAGCAGGGGGCTACAGCAGTTCACCAGGCTCAGGGGGCTGCTGTTCAGGCATGGAAATCTGCTGTTGTTCTGGAGTGCAGGGTTGTTGCAGTTCAGGATGGGCTAGAAGTAATTGCAACTCTGGGTCAGGGGATGTTAGCTGCACTGGAATGATAGTCATTAGAAGCTCAGTAGGGGCAGGTGGAGTCTGTGGTGACAGGAGGGACAAAGATAAGCAATTTTGTGGGGTCCAAAGTCTGTTGCAGTTTTTCCGGCTCTCGTAAGTGTTGAAGCACTTCAGGAGAGTCCGGATGCACAACAACCAAGCAGGATCTGGGGGTAGCTGCATGACAGACAGAGCAGGTAGCAGCAACAGTTTATCTGATTCAAGGGACTGTGGCTGCCGCTCAGGGCCAGGAGTTTCAGGATTTGCAGCTGCTTAGGGGTATCAATAGTTGGCAAGACTGCTGATTGAACAAAGTAACCAGGAGCAGGTGTTGACCAGTCGGGCAACAAGGAACCAGAAGCAGGTCTCGGTTGTACCCCTGACGGAGCTCTAGGAGCTGGTGTCAGTCGGACCACCGAAGGGTATCTAAAACCAGGTACCGGTCAGACACCCAACCAGGATCTGGGAGCTGGTGTCTGTCAGACCACAGGCAGGACAGTGACCACCTCTGTGGCACCTGTGCAACACTCTCTGTCTCTGTAATACTGGGTAGTATTGAGAACAAGGAGTAGGTCAGTGATGACTCCATGGAGCTGGGTCCATAGTGTGGGTAGTGTTGTACTATCAAGATTGCAGAGTGCAGGAACAGGTAAACTGAGAGGTGGACCCAGATGCAGACACCGATGGAGCGGAACGCAGTTCATATGATTTATGTACAGTCCCCTCCAAAAGTATTGAAACGGTAAGGAAAATTCCTTTGTTTTTGTTGTTCACTGAAGACCAAAAGATGAGTATGAGACAAGAGTTCAGAATTTCAGCTTTTATTTCCTGGTATTCACATCTAGATGTGTTAAACAAAGGGTGGTATTTCCTGAGTTGTTTAACACATCTAGATGTGAATACCACGAAATGAGACCTGACAATGTCACCTCCCGTTAAGATACAGGAGGAATCCTTTAAACCCTTAATCTATTCATTGTGTCGTGAACGCTGATTTCCTCAAATAGGAACAATTACAAGGAGGCATTTGTTGTACCAAAAGTAGGTTCAAATTTTGTTAAAATCCCAGTTAATTAAGTAAAATTAGCCTGATAATAAATTGGATTGTATAAAAAGTTTTACTCTCCTCAGCGTCGGAAGGTCATGTCGGCTCTTACACACCACCCTGATAAGCCAGTGTTTCCCCTAACATTGAGTTAAATTAATTAGAATTTTAGTTGCGAAACGTTGTTGTGGTGTTTATCAGTGCTGCTCCATCCCTCTCTGTGTTGGCATTTCAGCTGAAGAGTTGTTGTAGACTTCATGGCTGTGTGCATTGAGTCAGATATTCCGTTATAAAAAATCAAAGTTACGTCTGGTCAGGCTTTGTAAAGAAGAAGCACTGCCCACGTGAGAGTAGCCTCCCTCATACCCACTTATACCGGCATTCAATTTCAATTCAATTCAATTCAATTTTATTTATATAGCGCCAAATCACAACAACAGTTATCTCACAGCGCTTTTCATAAAAGAGCAGGTCTAGACTGTACTCTATGATGCTATTTACAGAAGCCCAACAGTTCCCACCAAGAGCAAGCACTAGGCGACAGAGGCAAGAAACCTTGAGCAGAACCATGGCTCAGGGTGGGCGGCCATCTGCCGCGACCAGTTGGGGGTGAGGGAGAGAAAGAGAAAAAGAGAGAGAGAGTACAGACAGTAAAGGTAATGTTGCTATAGACTTAATGAATAATGGTACAGATATTTATAGTATGGTTTATGATAATAACCGTAATGACGACGACGACGACGACGACAACAACAACAGTTGTAGCAGAGGGTGTTGAGCAGGAACACGGGGGCAGCAGGTGACTCGCAACCACAGATCCAGACTCCACAGCTCCAGAGCCAGAAACACCTGCAGGAAGTGATAGGAGGAGAGAGGAGAGGGACGAGAAAGCACAAGACTATGGGAAAGGGTCTTGTTAGGAAAGGGAAGAAGTTAGTAACATGCATTAATGGGGTGAGGTTGCATATAGAGGGAGAGAAAGAGGAGGAAAGGAGCTCAGTGCATCATGTGAAGTGCCCCAGCAGTCTAGGCCTATAGCAGCATAATTAAGGGATGGTTCAGGACTAACCTGAGCCAGCCCTAACTATAAGCTTTATCAAAGAGGAAATTCTTAAGCCTACTCTTAAATGTGGAGATGGTGTCTGCCTCCTGAACCCAAACTGGAACCTGGTTCCACAGGAGAGGAGCTTGATAGCTGAACGCTCTGGCTCCCATTCTACTTTTGGAGACTCTAGGAACCACAAGTAACCCTGCATTCTGGGAGCATAGTGCTCTGGTGAGGTAGTAAGGTACTATGAGCTCTTTAGGAAAAGATGGTGCCTAACCATTAAGAGCTTTGTAGGTGAGCAGAAGGATACAGGAAGCGAATGCAGAGAAGCTAAGACAGGAGAAATATGATATATTTTCCTGGTTCCTGTCAGAACAAGTGCTGCAGCATTCTGGATCAGCTGAAGAGTCTTAATGGACTTTGAGCAGCCTGATAATAAGGATTTGCAGTAATCCAGCCTAGAAGTAACAAATGCATGGACTAGTTTTTCTGCATCATTTTTAGACAGGATGTTCCTGATTTTTGCAATATTACATAGGTGAAAAAAGGCAGTCCTTGAAATTTGCTTAATGTGAGATTTAAACGACAAGTCCTGATCAAAAATAACTCCAACATTCCTCACAGTGGTGCTGGAGGCCAGGGCAATGCCATCCAGGGAAACTATATGGAGGTGCTTGGGCCCCAGAACAATAACTTCAGTTTTATCTGAGTTTAACATTAGAAAATTACAGGTCATCCAGGTTTTAACATCACGAAGGCACATTTGAAGTTTAGCTAACTGATCAGTTTCATCTGTCTTGATCGGTAGATACAATTAAGTATCATCTGCATAACAATGAAAGCTTATGGAATATTTCCTGAATATATTGCCTAAAGGAAGCATATATAAAGTGAACAGGATTGGTCCGAGCACAGATCCTTGTGGAACTCCATGACTAATTTTGGTGTGCAAGGAGGACTCATCGTTAACATGTACAAACTGAAATCAATCTGATAAATAGGACTTAAACCAGCTTAGAGTGGTTTCTTTAATGCCAATGAGATGTTCCAGTCTCTGTAATAGGATCTGATGGTCAATGGTATCAAATGCAGCACTAAGATCTAATAAAACCAGTACAGAGTACCTTTGTCTGATGCAATTAGGAGGTCATTAATAATTTTCACCAGTGCTGTCTCTGTGCTATGATGCACTCTAAATCCTGACTGAAAATTCTCAAATAAACTATTGCTCTGTAGAAAGTCACACAGCTGTTTAGCAACTGCTTTCTCCAGAACCTTAGAGAGAAATGGAAGGTTAGATATAGGTCTATAGTTGGCTGAAACATCTGGATCAAGGTTGTGCTTTTTCAGAAGAGGTTTAAGTACAGTACTGTGGTACATAGCCTGTTGATAAAGATAGATTGCAGGGTGTCAGCGGGGTCTTAAAAAGTATTAAAATGTAATAAATCAATTTTGGGAAAATTAAGGCCATTAAAAAGTATTAAAAAATCTTAATCAACATTTGGCAAGGTATTAAATTTTGTAGATATTTTTTTCAATGTGAAAATCCATTTTGTCCAAAGATTTTGTATGCAAACGTGGTGAATGTATTTATTTATATTGCGTAACCAAAAATACTAGATGCAGAGCTCTGATGGACCTACTAAATTGACGTCATATAAAATGGACAAACATTTCGTGCGCTCACGGACGCACTGGTGGCTTGTGGTCTGAAGACGCTGTGCTAAGAAGCTAACAATCAAAAATGGGGAAATGCAAGTTTTCGGATGTGTTGGAGGACTCAGACTTTAAACCGTGGCTACGTCTCATCACGGGAATGATCCGCAGGCGTGTTGTTCGGTCTGTAAGAAAGCTGTAAGTGTTAGCTCAATGGGTATCAATGGTATTCGGTCCCATATGCACAGTACTAGCCACAAATCGGCTTTAGGACGTACATCATCAGATTTGGATTAGCACCATACTTCAAACAACAGCTTGTTGATAGTGTCAACAAGGCTGGACCGTTCGTATTGATGTTTGATGAGAGCCTCAATCAATGCACAAAGAAAAAACCGCTCGACGTACATGTTCGATTTTGGGAGGATGGCTGTCAGATCCAGGTACCTGGGATCTCAATTCTTGGGACATGGAAGAGCTGATGACTTGTTGCATCAAAGTAAGTGTATCGAACAGTATTTTAGTTAATTGATACTTCATACACAGTTATTGATATTGGTACATGTTTGACCATTTCTTTTTAATTAGACTGACTTCTTATCTTTTTGCATATCTGCACTGTTTCAGCTATATAAATGTAGGTTTATATTGTAGTTTTGCTTCAGGAAATGTAAACAGGACAAAATACAATTTATTGTTTTTATAATAACAAAAAAAGTTATTTAAATGTTAATGTTGTAATGTCAATTTACAGGAGTGTGTGAAACAACTAAATATGAGGCACCTTGTGTCCATCAGTATGGATGGCCCCAATGTCAACTTAAAGTTGGTAGATCTTCTCCAGAAAGAGCAGGTGGAGCTCTATGGAGGTGCTCAGCTTGTCCTTGTTGAAAGCTGTGGTCTTCACACCCTCCACAATGCAGTAAAGGCAGGCTTTACAATGTGGCAGCTGGAAAAGCTCCTGAGAGCAATGCATTTCCTCTTTCATAATGTTCCTGCTAGAAGAGAGGACTTCACTAGCCTGACTGGATCCTCCTGATTTCCACTACCTTTCTGCGGCCACAGATGGATTGAAAATGTCCCTGTACCAGAGAGAGCAGTTGAGGTTTGGCCAATGCTACTAATTTATGTTGATGCTGTCAAGAAGAAGAAGATCCCAAACCCTGCCACTACCTCTTATGACACTATTGTGGCAGCACAAGAGGATCCACTCATCGTAGCCAAGCTGCAGTTCTTCCTGGCGATTTCCAGGACCTTCAACCCCTTCTTGACAAAATTCCAAACCGATGAACCAGTGTTGCCCTTCTTGGCCAAAGATTTGGCTGATCTGTTGAAGGTAAATAAGTAAACTAATTCAAGTGAATTTGAATCTGAATCTATATTAATAGTTCTGACACTGATCACTGGCTATTTCTTTATAAGAGTCTACTGAGGCGGTTTGTGAAGAGGGAGCTCCTACAGGACCTCACCCCCCTGAAGCTGACCAAAGTTGATGTATCTGATGAGGAAAACTGGGTCTCCCCTATGCATGCTGAGATAGGCCTGGGTGCTGAAACTGTCATCAAGGTAATTTAAATACATTGGATCTTTGAATGAATGGATCTTTTGCTGTATCTGAACACTAACCAGCCAGTTGGATGTTAACAAATTGAACCATTTAATAATTTTATTATGTAAATGCTCCGTATTTGTATAGCGCCTTTCTAGTCTTTTCGACCACTCAAAGCGCTTTTACACTACATCTGCATTCACCAGTCATACACATTCATACACTGAGCCTAAGTGCTCAAACGGAAACTAACATTCACACTCATTCATACACTGGCGGAATAGCCACCAGGGGCAAATCAGGGTTCAGTATCTTGCCCAAGGACACTTCAACACGCAACCAGGGGGAGCCAGGGATTGAACCGCCGACCTTTCAGATTAACGACCAACCCGCTCTACCTCCTGAGCCACAGCCGCTATTATTACTACTATTATGATAGTAGTAATAATAACAATAATCGTAATTGTTGTGTAGATTTCTTTTTGTAAGTCTGTACCATTTACAGTAGATGTTCCTTATTTGTCAGGCACTTCAGAGCAAATCAGGAAGCAGGGTAGGTGAGCTTTCTGTCCTCACCTTCAGGAGAGAGTGTATGCAGGGCCTGGTTAACATGGTTAGGAAACTGCAGGAGAAAAGCCCCCTGAAATTTCCAGTGGTCAGGCACATCGCATGTTTGGATCCCACAAAGATGAACAGAGATCCAGAGTGGTGCATTGCAAAGATGAAGAGCATAGTCCAAACATTCCTGCAGGGCAAGCAGTTGGCAGGAGGCGTGTCAGCTGGTAAGAAAAAATATTGTGAAGGGAAAGTAGAAGTGGATAAGTTATTAAAATTTACCATGGCTGTGTATTGTTAAAGATTGTTTCGTTTTTGTGTGTTCTTCTGTAAACAGTGTGAATATGCCTAAGGTATTTCCATTTGCTTTTAAGGATATAGTTTACCTTTTCTGAGGTGTGACCCATGAATTTGTGATATGAATTATTAAGCAGATGACTGAATTGAATTTAAAATGACCTATGAATTATTACATATTTTATTTCCCATGTCAACGTCATAGGTGATGTGATCATCCAACAGTTCGAGAGCCTTCTCTCAGCTGAGGGTAGAGATGAGCATTTCCTCTACTTTCAACCACTGGAGCAGCGGCTTGATGTGTTCCTGCACTCAACACTCAGCAAGTCCTACCCTGAGCTGTTAAGGTCTGTCAGAGCCTTCTACTTCTGTCCCATGGACAAGCCACAGTAGAGAGAGGGTTCTCCATCAACAAGGAGAAGAAGAATCAGTGGAGGCTCAAAGGTTGATTTGCGATCAGGTCAGTGTCTGTGGAGGCATTCTGAAGGTACCTCTCACCAAGGAGCTCCTTACTTCTGCAGCATCTGCAAGGTCACAGTACAGGATTTACTTGGAACAACAGCGGAGAGAAGAGAGAGAGTGCAACACTGGCTCTCAAGAGGAAAGTGGTTGAAGATCACCTAGAAGAGCTGAAAAAGAAAGAAAAGATGCGGATCAACTTGCAGAGCAGGCAGAAGGAAAATCTGGATCATTAATGGCTCAGCTGATCACAAAATCCAACACCCTCAGGAGGAGACACAAAGAAAAACTCACTGAGCTGGTGCAAACTGAAAAGTTGTTGGAATGAAAAGCACCTGAATTGAGGCAAATGCCATAAATCTTGTGTCTGTAAGGAAGGAGACCCCACACAGCTCACCATTTCTATCAGATACTACCGTTATGCAAGTTCAAAGTTTACATGAGTACATGTAAATATGTACATGAGTTCTGAAAAGCATTCATGTCATGCACTCATTTCATGAGCGTGTGTGCGTAGGTGTGTCACAGTTATTGCTTTTTTTTCTTATATATTACCATTCTCCAAGGTCAAATATATACTTGTAATTTATTTCATTAGATGGTTATTGCTTTTTAATAAACCTTGGCTCACTTAATATATTCTCTTTGGCTGTGTTCCCTCCTGGTCTGAATTCTGTTGTATTGGAAGTTGGTGAATGCCTCAATTTTAGTGAAGTTGACGCACAGGCAATAAAAATGTGATATTTAACCCCTCTAGAAACTCCACAATGCAACTTAAAGGTGTGTGGCTGACTTAACCAGCTACAGCTCAAAGTGGCATGGCAGTCCTGAAATATTTTAAAAAGGTCTTAAAAAGTATTGAATTTTACTTCAGAATTCCTGCATATACCCTGGATTGATCATATCTAGTATAAAAGTGCTGACTAGAGTTAAACTTCTTTAAGCAGCCTAGTCGGGATGGGGTCTAAGAGGCAGGTTGATTTTTTTAGATGAAGAAATTGAAGTTAGTTGGTAAAGACTGAGCAAAGCAGTCTAAACAGATATCTGGTTTTACAGCCGTTTCTAAGGTAAGACTATCTTGCTAATTAATCGTGAATTTTCCAATTTGGTGGAACGCAAATTCCTCTCAAGTTTCTGCGATATTTGCTTTAGTTTGCGAGTTTCAGATTTATTTCATGGAGCTAACTATCTTTGTTTTAGTATTCTTTTTTAGAGGGGCTACAGAGTCGAGTGTCATTCGCAGCAAGCCTGCAGCACTATCAACAAGATGATTGATTTGGGAGGGACTGAGATTAGCATAGGAGTCCTCCGTTACTTTGTGACTTGATAAAGAATTTAGAGCTGATGGAATCACATCCTTAAATTTAGCTACAGCACTATCAGACAGACATACAGAAATTTTTGCCCAATGGCGTGTAGTTCAGCAATAGAAACTCAAAAGTTATCAAACAATGGTCAGATAAAAAGGGATTCTGTGGGAACACTATTACATTTTCAATTTCAATACCAGAACAAGGTTGAGGGTGTGGTTAAAACAGTGAGTCATGAACACTCTGAGAGAAGCCAGTTGAATCTAAGAGAGAGATAAACGCAATCCTGTAGCTCTCAATGTCCGCATGAATATTAAAATCCCCTACAATAATAACTTTGTCCGTTTTAAGGACTAAAGTTGACAAAAACTCTGCAAATTCAAATATGAATTCAGCGTACGGACCAGGTGCTCAGTACACTATAACAAAAAGAATTGGTTGCAGTGATTTCCAACTTGGGTGTGAAAGACTAAGAACAAGGCTTTCAAATGAGTTATAGTTTAGTTTAGGTTTAGAGCTGATTAATAGGCTAGAGTCGAAGATAGCTGCAACTCCACCTCCTCGGCCTGTGCCTCGAGGAATGTGAGTATTAATATGACTGGGAGGGGTGGATTCATTTAGGCTAACATATTCTCCATCACCCAGCCAGGTTTCAGTAAGACAAAATAAATCAATATCATAATCTGGTATTAGTTCATTTACTAGTACACCTTTAGAAGAGAGAGATCTGATGTTTAAAAGTCCACATTTAACTCTCCTATTCGTTTGCACTATTGCTCTTGTGGTTTTAATTTTTATGAGGTTTTTATGCACAACTCCTCTTCTGTTTACCTTTGATTTAAATAATTTCGATGGTCGGGGGGCAGACACCGTCACTATAGGATTTTCACTAAGTAACTCCTGAAATGGAGGAGCAGAGAAGTGTGTTAGACTGCGACTCTGCGTAGGGTTTTGGGTGGGTAACTGCTGAAAAAGAAGGGCAGAGAAGTGCGTTAAACTGCGACTCTGCCTCCTGGTCTCAACTCTGGGTTGTCATGGATTTGATCCACTAATAAACTTGGCCAGATTTCTAGATATGAGAGCTGCTCCTTCCCAAGTGGGATGGATGCCGTCTCACCGAATCAGACCAGGTCTTCTCCATAAAGTCTGCCAATGATCTACAAAGCCCACATCGTTTGCTGGACACCACCTCGACAACCAGCGGCGAAATGATGACATGCGGCTATACATGTCATCACTGGTCAGATTTGGCAGGGGGCCAGAGAAAACTACGGTGTCTGACATTGTTATTACATATATACACACTGACTCAACATTAATCTTAGTGACCTCCGATTGGCGTAACCGGGAGTCATTACCGCCGACGTGAATAACAATCTTAGTGTATTTACGTTCATCACTTCCTGATTAGCTACAGTCATGTGACTCTGTTATGTGACTATGCATGTGCACTAATCACCTAGATTCCCACACAAAGTATCTAATAAACAGGCTTACATGAGTTCAGGCAAAGTGCAAATCCAGTAGCATTCCATCAAATGTAATGAAAATCCAAAACAGTGCAGATGTACCAAAATGGTGCAACAGCAGAAAAATCTGAAGAACACGAAAACAAGCAGAACACTCAACAGAACAATGACAACACCATGAGGACTGAACACAACGGAGGACAATATATACTGTAGCACATGCACATGGAACCAGAACACAGAGGCAGTTAGCTACATTACTTGCTGTATGGTTGTTCACTCTGTATCATGGTATTTGTCATTGTGTTGGATTTCTCCAGAATAGCTTATTTCTTGAATATGTTTGTGTGAACTAATTCTACATGTAACCTACAGGGTTAAAAATGGGAATCATTTAAACCATTGCTGCACTGTATTGCCCTGTCCCCTGTGTGTGCATGTGTGTTTGTTGTAGTTCAACATTGACAAGGAGGCAGGTGATAGGCAGATCTACCATCGTTACTGCCTGGAGAGAGCAGCGGTCCACTGTGCACACGTCTTCACTACAGTCTCCCAGATCACTGCTGTGGAAGCCAACCATATGCTGCACAGGAAGCCAGGTGGGGAAGCTTTTCACAGTTGCACCTTGATATTTCATGATGTGCATCTCAAGTCTCTTATTTGTCGTTTCCTCGCTCCTTGTTCCTCGCTTGAACCGAAAGTTGTTCTGGTCCGCCATCTTGCAGACTGTCTCAAAGCTCCTCCTTATTTCTGCTCCGAGGAGCGATGAGCAAGGATCGAGGCACGATCTCTGAGGAGCTATGAGTGAGGCTACACGAGTGCATCCTTCAGAAGTCTTTTACTGACTGACACACCCCCTTATTTGGTCGCCGTTATATTGATTGGACAACGCAGCTGATCGGACTGATCACGACACAACATGACAGATAACACATTAAACTCAAGTATATTTATGTGTTTTATGATTGACTGTCTAGTTAAAATATGTGTTCATTGTAGGTTAGAACAACAAAAGCACCATGAAGAACTTTCTTCATTTATTAGAAGAATTTCTCTTTTCTGTTATTTGTTATTAACCTATTTTATGGAGACAATTTAAGTCATAGAGAGTCAGATAGTGTGTCTGTCAGCAGGAAACACTTCCTTACATTCATTTCCATTCAGTCAAATGTTTAGACAATATAATAGTAGTAAACGAGTGAGGTGTTAGACTGAACAAATCCCCAACCTAACTGCACTAAAGTCTGTAATGAAGCAAAGGGAAAGAAAGCCCGCACAACCAGCCGATCTCACTAGTTTTGTGTTGTTCAAAGCACGTTTCGTTCATTTGATCTAATCTTGTATATGACTCTAGTCTGAGGGAATAATTTTTTTATTTTGAATTAAGCATGAATAGTCTTGGACTCTTACATCCACTCATCACATGGCAGCTGCATGGGCTCCATCAACACAGGAAACAGAATTGATTAGTTCACGATTCTAAACTGTGGGTCTCTAGGTTTGAGTTGTTCATTTGTCACGTGACAGCTCGGCCTCTTTGGAGCAGCAATGAAATATTAATAAACTCTTAATTGAATGTAATATTAGAAAATTTAATTCAGTTGCACCGAAACTGTATTTGCTCTTTATTTACATATTTAGCTGACGCTTTTATCCTAAGCAACTTACATTTTGCTATATATGTCAGAGGTTGCACGTCTCTGAAGTAACTAGGGGTTAAGTGTCTTGCTCAGGCACACCTTGGTAGACGTGTCACAGTGGGGAATTGAACCCGGGTCTCAAACCAAAGGCATGTGTCTTGTCATGTGCGCCCCACTTTATAATTTTACATTTAGTTAGTGTCTGAAGTCTTAATTAAATTTCAAATATTTTCCAAGACACAGATCCGGGTCCTTGAAGAAGAGCAATCGAGTGCAGATGCACAGAGCTCCTTTTCGGCCAATCAGCGATCAGCGCTTATGTTTTTTGTTTTTTTTCAAAACCCAAGCATTTTCTACTGGAAAACTGTACTGGGCTAACCATTTTACAAAGAGGACCAGTAACAGTTCAAACCTGGATTCCCTTCAGACTGAAGCGCAAGGATGAGTTGATCCAACTTCAAACTTGGAACCTGTAAGTTTGGCATTTTCATGTTGCTTTACTGTTAATTTTTCCATGTAAGCCTGAGCATGCTCAGCGGCTAATGTGGCTAACGTCTACTGTACACACTATGAGCAGTGTTGGAGAATTTTAATGCTGAGGGACAGTCAAAAGAAATTGTGCGAACGCCATATTTGAAGCCCATAAAGTATCCACAGTAGTAAGTTGGATGTGGTACATTGCCATTGTGGACTATCATACTGCAAAGCTAATGTTAGCTCAGCTTATTAAGCCTCTTCTGCTCCGTGATGTTCTGAGTTACAAAACTCAATTTCACTCTATAACTTGTTATATTGTGACAATAAACCTACCTACCTATTAGACTTGTGTAAATCAAGTGGTCAGTTGCTTGGCAATGTTGTGTAACTTTGATAAACACCAAGCAGCTAATACCAAAAATCTGTTAGAGGGAGCAGTGAGTTTAAAGTCAGGTGGAGACCAATACAAATATTCTGATTCATGGAATAGCATTCACACCTAGCATTACTGCAACACTAGAATTAGTGACAATACTGCAGCTCTTTTACAGTCCTGTATCTGTCATTTGTCATATTACTTGGTGTTGCTAAAAAACAGGGCAATGCTAATCCTCTACAATACTCTGCTGTCCAGCCTGTGTCCTGCAAAGACGCTGGCGTTGGCACATTCACTTCTTGCTATGCAGATCCTCAGGCCTTTCTAACAACCAAACAAATAAGAAACCTCGTCAAGACCTGGAGGA